AGTATGCAGGGCGATACACGTAATAGACCCTATTTAAAATAACAAATGGGGCATCTATTTAAAATACGAATATCCACAAAAAATAATAAATCCATTAACTCTTTATATCTCTCTATGTGTGTGTGTGTGTGTGTGTGTGTGTGCGTGTGCGTGTGTATGTGTGTGTATGCGTTTCGTCCCCTGAGGGACATTTGCCTTGATAAAGTTCCTCAGAGAACGAAGCGCGTCGTCTAAGATAAGTTTTTATTTTGTCTCTATTCATATATATATATATATATATATGTGTGTGTGTGTGTGTGCTTGTGTGTGTATGTGCGCGTATTTGTTTGTGTGTGTGTATGTGTGCGAGTGTGTGTAATGCAAGAGGTAATTAAGAACATTATAAAATTATAAAAAAGGACAGTTATATTCAATAGCAAAATCAGGTTTATTTTCAGATATACATACCTATATATGTATCAATAAAAAAGGTAAACTTAGCCGATGCTATTCGTCCTCTGATGGACTTTATCAAGTCAAACGTAAGGATTTTATTTTGCAACGAGTATTTATAAACAAAAGTAAAAAGGTTGTACGTTTTTTTATATTTAAAATCTCTGAAAAACTAACGACATTTTCATATTTGTTTATAAAAACTTGTTACGAAATAAATTCTTTATATTTGTCTTGATAAAGTCGACCTGATGATGAAAAGTGTCGCCTAAGATAAGTTTTGTTTTAGGCCTTTATTCATATTACTCTTTCACAGATATATTTTTAATGATATCAGCAATTTTACACAGACACACACCTACGCACGCATACACACGGACACACACGCACGCACACACGCACACACACACACACATATGTTTTGAACAATAGAAATATTAAAAAATTAAAATATTCAGACACACTGGGTTGTATATTAATATTTTTTCATTTTTTTTATTTCAGTTAGATTCCTCGACTAGTTTCGGCTAACATGGCCATCATCAGGAGAAAAAAAATTGTGCTTGTTAGTAGCAGTGAACTACAGAAATGAATGACTTGATGGAGAAATTGAACATTATCTGTAAGTTTTCATTTATTTTTTTAATGTTTTTATCATGAATTTTGGTCAGTCCTTGTGTTGTTCAAACAGTCTCTTTTAAGTTGTTATTTAAGATAAGGGCTGGATGGAATCATGCTCTGAATTCCCTTGGTCATTTTGACAGTTTTATTGGTTCCTGGAAAGGGGATGTGTCTATGTAAAGTGTGTGTTATTTGGTTCTTAGGGAGTGAGTAACTATGATTTGTATAAGTGCGCGTATTAGTATGGGTGTGTGTATAAGTGTGAGGCCTCAACACCTCCGCAAGCATGTCTGTTTTATGTGGGTGAGAAATATGGGTAGGGCCTGATTCGTGGGGTTATATATTAATTCTATGTATGTTGTTAAATTTGTGATTAAGACCGTCTGGATGGAGCGTTTTAAGGTCTTCTAAAATTTTTCTAATGTTATCTGCTCTGAACTTTTCTATTTTCTCAGTTATTGCGAATTTAGCATGGGTTTCAATTTCGTGTTTTTGTAGGAGGAAATGTTCTTCTACAGGTAATAATGGTTGATAGGGAGCTGACAATTCGATTGCGATAATTATTAATTCTGTAGTGAAAGGGCCATTCAGATTTTCCCACATATTGTTTCTGGCATAGTGTGCATTTTAGGAGTTAAATTATGTTATGACTTCTTCAGTTAGAGCCGTGATAGATTTTGAAAGTAGATTTAGTAACTAAGCTATATATATATATATATATATATATATATATATATATATATATATATATATATATATATATATATATATATAATTGAATACAGGTGTTAATAAAATAATGTTCAATGTAAAATAACAGAGTTTTAAATTATATATTAATAATAAATAAAAAATTTCCTCATTGGTAGCACAACGGGGTTTCATGAGCAACGCAATCTTCAGTTGCTGAGTTAAGTTTGACCGTTAAATAATATATATATATATATATATATATATATATATATATATATATATATATATATACCGGACTTTCCTAATAGTATTTTTTTGGGAATTGTTTTTAAAAAATGTATTTAAAATAAACTTAAATAAATGGAAAAAAAACGTGTAAAACACACATCTACACAACTTATATACTTCAAGTTACAAACTCAAAATATAAATTAAATATAAATATACACATTTAAATGATTATAAAAATAGCTTCATCTACTGCAAGAAAAGAAAATATGGTTCTGTTTTTCTCGCCTGAATCCATCCTTCAAATCTATCAATCAACCATTCGCCCTTGCATGGAATACTGCTGCTATATATGGTCTGGGTGCCCCTGCTTTTCGTCTGAAGGTCCTCGACAAAATCCAAAGACGGATACACAATGTGATAGGTCACATTGCTAGGTTGTCATCTGAGTCGCACCATTTCACCGTCGAAACTATTAAATGTAGCCGTCTCTTCTGCTCCAACAGCTTCTTCTCTCACACTTCCTGACAGTAGAACTCCCTTCCTCTTACTTGCTTCCCTGATAACTATCATCTTCAATTATTCAAATAATTTCCTCTAACCCGCCTCATTACGCTTGCTCCCTCTCTAACCCCTTGCGTGCTAAAAAATACAACGACACGCACAAATATTATGACACATCGACATATATAAATTATTATATAAATATCATATAAATTCATATAAATTATCATAATATAAATTATATGATATAACATGATATAAATGATAAATGAAAACATGATATAACATTATATAAATTATCATATAAATATCATGCCACATCTACATATAAAATTATAATTATTTCATTGAATAATATAAACATATGTGCCTACTTATTTTTATACTGATCCCTTCGAGTTGTCTAATTATTTTTATTCTTGAGTGACTTTCGCTGCATTTTGCAATTAATTTCGATTATTCCCAATTTTATTTCAAAATTATAAAAATTATTATCGCACAAAAATATCATCGCAAAACTCACGTAAAAATTCGCCGAAATCGCAGTAATGAAAACCTGGGAATCCAAAATTTCAGGATTGCGGGCCCGAATCCTTCCCAGAATATTTTTGATTTTTTCAGGGGGTCGGCCTGATTTCAAAATGGCATAATGTGCCTTTAGGAGTAAGATTGAAAATATGGACAGTTTTTACTGTAGTTTGAGAACAGCAAATTTTTCATTTGAACGTGAGCTATTGAAAGTTAGACAGTTGTGTCCCTTTAACTGTTTTTATCAGTAGAAGCCAATACGGCGTAATCCGAAAAAATGGGATGCAAATATTTTGATATTTTTTTGAACTACAAATTCAAAAATTTCAATTTGTAGTTCTGATGATTTGGTTCGTGATTACGATTCCAATGTAATAAATTATAACCATGGAATATTAGTGTTTGAACCTTTTATATTATATTCTTACTCTGTCCTGGACATTAAGTTCTACCTGGATTCTATCCTCTCTGAATATATATATATATATATATATATATATATATATATATTGACCAGTAATATTATCAATATCTATCTATCTATCTATCTATCTATCTATATATATATATATATATATTTTGGTTATCAGATAAATTTGTTTATTTTTCTATTTATTTGAATCCTATTATTCATCAATAAATTTAACGAATCAGGAGACAGTTTGAGAGCACCCCAAACTGTTGGGCTAATTTCCAATTAGATTGGTGTGGATCTTTGTGGATCAGCACATTCAATCAGTCCTTCTTGAACTGAACAGCTCGGCCGGAACGTGGAGACTCTGTAAGGTCGTTCCTTTTCTTGAAGCGTGAAAACCAATTCCGTGGAGTTCTTATTATAATACCACCTTATCCGTAAACAGCATAACTGTTTCGAACAGTTTTGGTGGCTTTGATTGAAAGAGAAGAGAAGCAGGCGTCGAAAATTCACGTTTTGTCAAATGCACATTTTGCCTTGGCTCTCTATCGTCATATGCTTGAAGAGAAGCAATATCGAATATAATCTCAAAAACGATGAATAAACGTTACAGAGGAAAAATAAGGCGACAATGAAACATTAAACACAACGAAAAAAAATCCCCAAAAAACAAAGTATTTTGCATGTAAATTCAAATAACATTGCAAAAGTAAAACAAAAGAAAAACGAATTTATGTGACAACGTAATAATATACAGTATGTCCCTAAAGTCTTGACACATAGGAAATCTCATTAACTATATTTGTTTTTCACTTCCTCAGATTAAATATGGTTTTGGCGAAAGAAGAAAGAACTGAAGATATTATTTGTTAATATTCCAATTCAATAAAATATTGATGAAATTTCATTTCTTGAAAAAATGTATTTTTGCCTATGTGTCCAGATTTTAGGGACACCCAGTGTAACTTAATAATTCATATTTGTTTTTTTTTTTTTTTTACTCTTTACTCTAGAGGTTGTCCCTAAAGTCTGGACACATAGTAAATCACATTGATTATATTTTTATCCCCACAGATTAAACATGGTTTTGTCGAAAGAAGAAAGAATTGGCTTCTATTTCTAGAGTATGCTAAAAGAGAAGGTGTACTCAATGAAAATCACAAATGCAACACACTTGACTGAACGTATAAAAAGTGAATGTGCTACATTTGACAGCAATGTAGAATTATTGCATCGAGTTCACGCGAATCTTGCAAACAGCATCGATCTTTACACCATAAATGATGGAAATCATATTCAAGATGTTATTTGTTAATATTCCAGTTCAATAAAATGTTGTTGAAAATTTCATATCTTGAAAATACCCGTTTTTGCCTATGTATCCAGGCTTTATGGACACACTGTATACATTTTGTATACGTGTGTGTATACGTGTATATATGTTTGTATACGTGTATATATGATACGGGTGTATACGTGTATATATATATATATAATGTATACGTGTTTGTATACGAGTATGTATGTGCGCATACATGTATAAGTTGTTTTATATCGTTGAAGCCTTACGGCACCGTCACGTTGAAACACCGATTGCCGTACGATCACCGAAGTTAAGCAACTTCAAGCCTGCCGCGTACTTAGATGGGTGACCACTTGGGAATACCAGGTGCTGTAAGCTTTGATATGCGGATGGTGTAATGGATAATGGCACGGGATTGTTAATTGGAGAGCGAAGTTCCAATTCTAGTTGGGTTCGTTATATTCACTTACGCGCAAATAACCTTGGGAATAGCATGTATCGACCTCTTCTCCCCCAGCTATGGATTAATTAGTAAGACTTGTATCACTGAAACCATTATTATCGGCCTCAAAAATTCTTAAAATATTTCCTAGATTTAAATAACCAGCAAAGGGTTGATAAGCTGTAAAAAACAAAAATAATCAATATTATTTTTTAGTCTTCAAAGATAGTTTTCATTTTCAATGCCGTTCTAATTATCTTTCACCTATATGGATCAACCATTGTGCCTATTTTCTGTATATATACGTTCATGGCAATTGTCCTGATGAGCTTTCGTGTTTGGTACCCCGACTTTACGAATTTAAGCGCAGTACTAGATTGGCTGCTCGGTCTAATCATTTTACAGCTGAAACTGCTAAATGTAACCGGAAGATCTATGCTAACAGTTTATTCTCTCGCACTTCTCGCTTGTGGAACACTCTTGCTTTCCAGTCACCTGTGATCTTCAAAAATTTAAATACAATGTTAATCGTTATCTTCTGTCTTTTTAATTCCTGTTCTGTTATTGTTCTCTCACACTCAGTAACCCCTTGAGTTGATTCTGAAGACTTGCACATTAAAGTTTTATTATTGCAATAATGATACAAGTTTTACTAATTAACCCATAGCTGGGGGGGGAGAAGAGTTGGATTCATTCCTTTCCCAAGAGTGATGAGATGCTTGCGCTGGTTCCCAGACTTCATGAATTTGAGCGTTCTACTAGGCTGGCATCCCGCTCACACCCTTTCAATGTCGAAACAGTTAAATGTAGCCGTCTCTTTTACTTCAATAGCTTCATGTCTCGCACTTCTCGCCTGTGGAACTCCTTCCCCTTTTCTTGTTTCCCTGATAGCTATAATCTCCAACTATTCAAATGTAATGTCAATCGACGTCTCCAGATGCCCTGATCTATCCCCTAATCTTCTCTTCATCCTTTCCTCTATCACTCCTATTTGCTCTCGCTGCAACTCTCTGTAACCCCTTGTGTGCTAGTGGCTTTCCGCCTTGCTTGGGGGGGAAACATTTAAAAAAAAAAAAAAAGATTGGCGCGTAAGTGTAACAATAATGTAGAAGCACATTTTTGTGCAATAACAAAGTTATAAACTGACAACCCTTTTATTGGCCATAGTAGATAAAATATTTTAACCATGTTGAGAGAATGTAACTAAACCTGAAAATAATATTTTCTTTGTCATAGGTTTACTAAATTAACTGGAGTTGGAAATCAGATCTCCAATTAACAATTACGACCCATTATTCATTACGTCATCCGAACATTCACGCTTGCAGCACTTGGCATACCCAGGCGTTTACTCAACTAGGTACTGAACTGGTTCAATGTTGCTTAACTGCGGTGACTGTACGGGAACCGGCAACCTTTTTTAAGGAAAGTGAATACAAGCAAAACTGAAAACAAAAACGCCAATAAATACATTGCTGGAAGACACTTGATTGTCAGACATAATATGTTTCCCAAAGATATACAATATGAATTGTCTCAAGTACCTTGGTAACTTTTTATTGGATATGACGACTAGACGGTAGTGTCTGTCGTGCCAAACGACGTTCGTGGAAACTGCCTTAAGTAAACTTTCTATTAGCGTTTATCTTCTGCCTAAAGTGCCAAGAAATAACAGTTGTCGTACAATATTTTGAAGGTTTTAAAAATTGGCACCCGATCTAGAAATGACGCATAAAACCTGGGCGAGTGTTTAGCAAACTAATCTCTCAGAAGCTGTAGTAAATTCGATCCACGCGTTTTTGCCTCGTGCGAAGCCGGTCATATGCCGAGACAGGTGACTTCGCAAATTGCTCCATTAAGTATTCTGTAATCAGTGCTAAATACATAAGATTTATCTCTGGGCATAGGGATGTGCGGGTCGTGTAACGGGTATCGGTGCTGAAAGTGGAATCGGCGAGCCAAGTTCAAATTCCAGCCTAATCTGTTATATTCACTTTCACACTGACATTTGGAAAAAAGGAATGATCAGACTCTTCTCCACCCAGTTATGGGTTAAATAGCAGATTATACTGGGGTCTCTAGCCTTGGGTGCCAGTCTAGGAGGCTAGGGAAAATCTTCCACTATATTTCGCAAAATAAAGAAAATTTTGGAGAGTCTTAATCGTTTACACCTTAAATTGAAAATTATATATATATATATATATATATATATATATATATATATATATATATATATATATATATATATATATATATATATATATATATATATATATTTTCTGACCGGCAGTACGATTCTTCAGATACCTGAAGATTGCGTCGTGCTACCGGCGAGGAAAATATGTATATTTACAGTTCCGTTATATTGCATCGAGCACTATTTTATTAACACCAGCAGTCAATGTGCGTTATTATATATATATATATATCCGACAATTATTTTAATATATTTTCTGTTTATACGTTATTTTTATACATGGAAATATTTATGTAAATGTTCTGTTCATAATGAGCAGCTTTAACAATATTAGACGGCCTGAATGTCCGAGAAATTTTATAGAAAATATGTGTCTTCCGACAGGATTCGAACCTGTATCCTACGCGGAACCGTCATGTAGCTTGACGTGCTATGCCATTTAGCTACAGTAATTTGAATTTATTAACCAGACGATTCCTCTATATCTAAATTGTATAGCACGTCAGGCCATATGACGATTCTATATAGGGCACAGGTTCGATTCCTGTCGGAGGACACATATTTCCTATGATATTTCTCGGATAATCAGGCCAGTAAATATTGTTAATACTGTTTATAATAAAACAGAGCATTTACTTAAATATTTGTATCTATAAAAGTAACGTATAAACAGAATATATATATATATATATATATATATATATATATATATATATATATATATATATATATATATATGGGGGGTGTAGGGAGTCCTCGTCTTACGACTGAGATCCGTTCCTAGCGTGTGTCGTAACGCGATTTTCTGTGTAAGCGGGAATGTATAGGCGATTTTTCGTCAATAGACACATACGTCACCCACTTATGCTTATGCAATAGTAAATAAATAATCTAGGACATAAAAACACATTTTCGTGACATATGCTATCATAATTAAGACTCAAAAAAAAAGGAAAAAAGAAAAACACATAAAGGACATAAATAATAATAACCGTCGTGACAGCCGGACGACTGAAGCTAAACAAGCAGCCAGTAGTCGTCGCTGTTTCTCCATTTTTAGAGCCTTTAACAATGTCTACTTCCACTTCCATGACGATGACTTCTCCTTTTCTTCGAAGCACCGCCACCAAAAGAGGCTACACTATACTTGGGAACCATAAGGTTCCACAAACACAACACAAATAAAAGAGATCGGATGCACAACAATCTAACAAGACCGGCCGCGATAACTGAATTTCCGCGAAATAGGGACACCATATTTACAGTATTTATTTAACGTGTATTTGAACTTTTAAAACCCTCCCTGTACTGTTAACAGCCCACCCATGACAGTACTCTATTAATAACAAGTACAATTGTTAAGCAATAACACTTTAGATTAAAAAAAAAAAAAAAAGATTGTTACTGTATTCAACACAAAAGAATTTGAAGTAGAATTTGAATGATGATGAATTTGCTGCGCAGTAGAAATGATGATGATGATGAAGCTGATGATGACTTCTACTGTGCAGCCGATAATTGTATTTTACATCTCTTCGAACAGCAGTGCCCTTTCTATTGCTATTTTACGCTTGTTTTGTTGTTCCTAGACCAGGAAATAATATTTATTATTAATATTTTAATGGGTGTAATGAAAAATTTTAGGTGTTCATATATCGCGATTTTTCTAGAATTTTCCAGATACTCCGCTATATATTTTCCATATATATACTTTAAAAATCCGTGAAGTCGTGAATCCGCGATAGTAGAACGGCGAATTAGCGAGGGATGACTGTATAGCGTACAACCAGGAAGAGACACACCGCCTCCTTAACTCTTGCGGTTTATGACGACGTATATTTCGGTTACCCCACTTGACTGTGCAAAAAACCCGTCGCTAGGGGCCGCTCCTTAAGCATGTGTAAAGGCGAGAATTTCTCTCCGTAGCCTCTTTCCTCTTTTATAGCTTCTGGTTACAAGATGTAGTTGCACGTGGAAAAAAAAAGTGTCCCTTACTGGCGTACGTTCATTTTCATGGTTTTCTGTATTAACCTTTTGTACTCTCTCACACACGCATGTTACGCACACACACACACACACACACACACACACACACACACACACACACACACACACACATATACATTCTTATTATAGCCGTCCTGGGTATGACCTTAAACTACATCCGCGTCCTGGGTGAGACGATAAACTACGTCCAGCAGCAAGGCCTCTGATCAGGAGGTTTTGAGGAGCGTGGAATCACCTCTTAATTGCTGGTGTTCCCAGGTTCACCCTGACCCTGGGTGGTAGCACCTGTTAGGGTCCCAGCTATGGGCAAATAATTAACACCCAAACTTATGTAAAAATAGGTTTTAATACCAGAAATACTTGTAATAAAAAATTATTACCAGCAATAATTTTTGAAGGGAACATTATTATCAGCAATAATTTAAAAGAATACCAGCAATACAAACAGCTATACATTCTTTGGAAAAAAGTGACCAGCTACAGATTTCTTCAAGGAAAAATATTCTCAGAAATAGAGTCTTGAAGAACATATTACCAGCAATAAAATTTTGTCGGCATTAAATAACCGAATGAGGTTGATATGTCGTAAACAAACCAACCAATCTTATAAATAGTTTCATTATTTTTTTTCCCTTTTTTTGTCATCTGTAATACTTTTCTTTATACATTGTCGTTTGTTTTATATCATTTTGTGTTACTCGTTTTTTTACTGGGCTCACATTGAGGTCGC